CAAAGAACATGACTTCCATCTAGTCAGTCGTCATCGGAATCTGTTGAAAGATTGACAAGTGTTAGTAACATATTTGACCTCATAATTAGTACGAAGTCGAAAAGCTTAGGGACATTTACGACTTAAAAGAAGTATATAACTTGAACCTTACAATTTGTTCGAGATAGGTTCAGAAAATCTTCAATTGGTATTTCTATTTCTCTAACATGCCATTTCATCAAGTATAACAACGTCTATAAGAGGCCAGCTATAACTAAAAAAGCAGTACTTTTTCGGTAATCCAATGCAGAAAGGAAGGCAAATTTTATCCAGAAAGTTATTTGCAAGGCAGTTTCTTATAGCATATTATTTCATGCAAGTACACCGTATATTCCGATTCGTAAGAGGATGGGCTTGTACTCCATGTGTGCAGACAAAAGACTACTTTAACAAAATGCACTGAACGAATTAAGCTTAACAAGATGCAAACCTGATCGTATATCTTCCCCGACTTGTCCTCTATTTTTCAGCTGTCTCCTGATCATTGAGCATATGAGTATCCACCAGTAAATGTGAAAAACAAGCAGGGTCAATAACATTGTATTGAAGAGATAATACAATGTGGCTGAGTACGTCTCTGCCAGGTTCAAGACTTCACATAAGTAGTAGCTGAGAAACCGAAAGAACCGAAAAAAAAAGTGATTAGAACGAAGTGACTAATGTAAAATTTGAAAATAAATAAATAAACTAAAGTCAGAATCATTTGCAAAACCAACCTTGAAGACCTTATGACCCAAAACGGGAAGAATATGAGCCTTAGTAAAAGCCACGACACAGCAAACAAACCGAAAAACAGGCTAGCGCCAACTTCTTTTCCAGAGTATTTGAAAACTTTAGCAGCTTCGAGGAATACATCACTCGCGTCATGCAGTGCGAGAATAACTGCTCCTATCCGGAAAAACCTATGAATAAGTACATCCAAATAGTCCATTGATAAACTTTATTTTTATCACATAGAGGTGTATCTTTTCGTGTATAATGAACATCAAGGTTGGATGGGTAACTTTTGTGCGTGCGGGTAGAAGAATTCCATCTTTCAATTTTAACAAGTAATCCAGAAAATCGTAAAACTGGTCAGTGAATATTATACTAGTTATAAACCTTTCTCAATTAGTTATTAGATGGATATCCAAATAAAATGACAATCCTGCTCATAAACAAGTTCAATCAACCTGAACCCCAAGAATAGTACATCTTCCGAAGATTTCATGTTTTTAAAAATTTTGACTAAATATCATACCATATATGATAATAAAATTCAATTGCGCATGTGCAAACTTGAACCCCCTAATAGTTTAAGCAAGATTCTGACTGTATGCGCACAATTTGAACTAAACTTCTTAAGTATACTGCAGATTTTTTTACAAAATAGAACGTATTGAACAACACGGAAAGTTATATATACTATGAGCCGTATTGACCGGCTAAGTCATGATTCTTATTTGGAAAAGAAGAAGACTACAGCTTGAAATTGATGAGATAAGTGAAAGCTTGGACTGATTCTCAGTTCATTCTAGATATGTTCAAATCAGTCCCAGACATTCAAAAATTGGGTCATGATTTAAGCACTTCAGTGCTCAACTGCTATGGAAATAATTGCTAAAGAATCTCGAAGGATAAATCAAAAATAACTTCTCTCTCCCTGATTATCAGCCTAAGATTTGAGCAAAAAGGCCAAGCACTATCAGTCCACTTCTTAACATTGCAAACTAATGGATATACATAATGTTAAGAACAATTTATAATAGAACATAATCTCAAGGACTTCCCCCCTATGCAGTATGTACAAGGTGAAATGCATGTTCTCTGTGAAAAGTGAGAACAAGAATTCGTATGTGCCTAAGGACAAGGCGATTTGCAAGTTATTGAGCCATAACTGAAACCACCACTAGTCTTACGCATTTTTTTTCGCTAAATTGACCAAAATCCTATAACAATCATCTCAATAATTTAGAAACCGCGAGCAGTAGATGAACCAAAAAAAATTACCTCGTGAGGTATGAAGAAGCAATTAGGATCACAGTGACAACATGATGAGACATCATGACAGAAAAATCCTTTCGTCGTGTTTCCCAAGTAAGAAGGGCAGCAATGCTATAGGTGTAAAACCCACATTGGCACATGTAGACAAGTTTTAAGGGAAGCCTGAAACAATAAGAGAGTGCAAATTTAGGTCCAAACCAAATGAATATTTCAAGAAAGACAGAGCATATACATCAAAAGATTTCCCACTGCATACGAGTACCTAAACTAATACAGTCATCAATAAAAAAAAACGATAGAGAGAGAGACTATTGGGCAGTCCTTAGACAATTAATACAAGAAAATTGCATTTACATAATATATTAATGATGAAAACTTCAAAAATAGCAGGCAAACATTCATGTCGACCACTAGATAATCTATTCTTATCGCTCTAGAAGATAAAATAAGATCTGCATACTTATTGCTAGGAGAAGCGTAGTGAGATATAAAACTTACTTCAGCTCTTGATCAGGCCAGCCAGTAAAATATGCTCTTACATCTGTAAACCATGGTTCCTGGTAGATGGTAGCTAAAATGCAAAACTCAACAGTAGCATAATATGTAAGCTTCCACATGGACTCTGAACATTTCGCTATTTTTGACCTTGTCTCCTCATTAAGCTTTAGCTGAGTGGTACCTCTGCTCAACAACCAGATTGCCAGCCTCTGCAATAGATAATCGAATGTGAGAAGGGAAGTTATTTCCAAAGAACAATGGACAATAACACGATAATATTTAACCATGCTCTTTATTATCTTGACTTCTTGTAAAGGATTCTTCTACAAAATGAACCCGAAACATGCATCTTTCGGTATCCACTATTCTTCAAAGCTACAATACTGGATGCTAAATCAGTGATGAACGATTTTTTAGTATAGTTCCCGAGAGAACTCTATATTTGGTATTATTGGAATATAATCATCTCCCTATTCTCGGTAATGATACTGCCACGCCATATCCATATTTGATTTGGATCAAATTTCATCCGGAATGAAGTTTTTTGTCAAATCATGGCTAGAGTATTCATCATCCCAAGCAACACAACGTATAAACTCTCTTTTCAAGGCCAAGGGTTGAAATATTAAGTCCTTTCTATATCTCGAAGCACTAGAAAAGTAATCTCAAGAATATTTTCTATTTCGAACAATTTTATTACAAGAAAATTGAATGTAATATTGCCAAATTCTCTGCCAAATTTAGTACCTAAAAATCGAACGTAATACCGGTGTACCAAAAACCTATCCTCGTGAGCAGGAGTGTTGCAAAATTTGTTTTCCCCAAATTTAGAAATATTATTACTCGGACAAAAAAATAATTGCAGTGTCTTATCCAAACAATAGTTAATTATATATATTACTATTATACTATACTAACCGGAGTGAGAATAACAATAGTTAATTATATCATTCCTACTTGTTCACACAACATTTAATAACATATAACTACATTAGTAATTCATAACCTCCTCTCTCAAAAAAACAAAATGAATCGAAGAACGTTCAATTAAATAACTGCCACTAAGATGCATTCGCCATAAACATACGTCAATCTCCAAACAAACAATTCTAAAAAAAAAATCGACAGCATTTCACACATCATCGCCGTTCATCCATCCTCAAACAAACATTCCAAAAAAAAAAAAGCGACAAAAAAAAAAAAAAACACGCGCGGACGGAAAAGAAGAAAAAAAACTTACACGAAAGATGAATCTGTCGAGTATGAACCTGGCAGCAACGAACGCAACAGCAAAGTAGACGGCGAAGATGAAATGCGAAGCGGCGGGGACGCCGTTCGGCGTCCAGATCGATTCCATCGGAAAATCCAAAAACGACCTCGCATCAATCAAACAACGACATCAATCGCAAATTCGAGCGAAATCCACACGCATTAAGCGTGTCTGTGCGTGTAAAAAAATAAGGAATTTGCCCTAATTCGAAAGGAAAGAAGAATGCAAAAAAATGGCGGAGGAGGAAGAAGAAGAAAAAATGGGGGGAAGAGAAATTAGGGAGTAGAGTGGGGTTGGTTGAGGGAGTAGAGGAAGGTGGAGGGGGATCTTCGTTAATGCTTTTTATATTCGGGTTTTTTTGACCTTTGCCGGTTTATTCCAATCTCTCGTGGGTCCCACCTTGTTATTATTCTGTTGAACTTTTGTTCTTTATACTAGCCAATTGATATTCAATATTATTTATTTATTATTCCCTCAAATTGTTTTTTTAATATTGTTTATTAAAAATGTGTTCCTAGAGCGTTTTCGGACACCACCAACTTTGTATTTGAAATTAATTTAAGTTATGACGTTCTGACGGAGGAGAAGTTTCGACAAGCTCCTGTTGCAGTTCACAGCCGTTATGTACCATATTTTGACGGTTCGATTTCTTGTTCTTAACAACTTGCATAGTTGTTGCAAAATGGTTTTACCCCAAATTTAAACTCATGACATTACAGTAAAATTTGTTCTTTTGTTTTAGGAGTTGTACGATGGGGTATTGTGATTCGATAAATTTGCACGATTTTGAGGACTTGTATAATAGGGTATTGTGATTCGACAGTTTAGTTTATTGTTGGAGGTATGTTTGTTCTCAATCATTGAATATTTCGTTTCTTGGGTTTGAGTGTTTGTATTTTTTGGCGAAAATGAACACGTATACATAATATGATTGTTCTTTAATATTTGTAATATGTGTAGAACAAGCAGACATTTATAAACATAGACATACTATATGAACAAAAACACCGTGTTGTTGCTAACTCCACATGGTCTTCGTTGCCCGTCATTGACGCATACAATCTTTCATGCGGAACTAGGTACTGACTACTACAATATCAAGAAGCTTCTTCAAAGTCTTATTATTATTCTTGATTGTAATGACAAAGGCTTACGATTTTGGTGGCTACAACACCCTAGCACTTCAACCAATAGTTGTTGACTATCATCAGATCCATTCAGATATGGACAAAGAGCCAAAATGATAACAATGTAGTTGGGTTTCTTCGAGTTTCCGATACAAACCGTGTCCAAAACACAGAAATGTTAAGAAGTTGAAGTTTCCGTGCTACCTATGCCAACTGAAAAGATGCATAGATTCTGTATTAAGAAAATAACAAAGGAAGGTTCTGTATTTAGAATAAATATTGATCAAGACAGAACCTTATTAATTCCTACATAGATGCAAACTAAGATGTAAAAGAAAAATACAGAATAATAAAAGATCTAAAATTACAAGTACAGTCATTTAATTTACACAAAAAGCCCAGCCAGTATCAGACAAACTTTAGGCTCAAATTAAGCACACAAAGTGATCTGGTTTCATTAAAACATTCCAATAAATCTACCCAAAAAATGCAAAAAGTCGTCTGCTTACATTACACAACGAGCAGGCTTAAAATAAGGGGAAATTCATGGTAAAAATTACGAAGCAGACTTGAAATTGAATTTTTATGTTTCCTCACAACGCATCTCGTGCAGCAATCCTACATGTCATAGCATCCGATAGCGAAGATATCCCTAATTCCACTGCTGATATTTTGTAGTGCTGGTGGATAAAATAAGAAAATAAAAGAATTTAAATCCGACCATCAACCAACAATAACAAATTTACAACGAAAATTGGTTTTCACATAAATAACAAACCTTATGTATTTGGGCTTGGTCGGCCCGTTTTTCCAATTCCTCCAAGCCAATTTCGGTCCCCTTGACAAGACTCTTTATCACAATCATCTGCCAAAACATAGTCAAATTGTTTCGCAATCACCTTCTTACGAAAAAAAATCCTAAGGCGGTGTTTGGATGTGGATAGAAGAATTTGAGGGAGATTTTAAATTTTTAAATCCATAATAACAAATCCAGTGAGCTTGTTTTGATTGAGTCATTTGATAATAGATTTTAATTTTTTCCTCATTTGGAGGCTTTTCAAATCCTTCGTATTAGGATTCATTTCTAATCATTCAAT